TAATCTGGGCTGAAAGAAAAGCTTTTTTTTAGAAGTGTTTACAAGTACCAGTTTGTTCTTTCGACAGTGGTGACTATACATCATTTTTTGAAATAAGGAAATTGCGCTGGAAACATCAGTACCCATACAACATTTAGAAGGGAGTTAATCTATCAAAATTAAGTGTAAATAATTTAAAAATCCAACTCTGATATTTCAGCTGTGTAAATATATTGAATCTGCAACACACTAGTGAACATGTCATTTTCAAGCACAGCTTTGATTATACAAAATGTAAATGAAGATATTTGAAGTACAAACCAGAGCAAGTGAGAGGAATATTTTACTCTTAAAACTAACAATCACAAAAAAACCTGGTAAAATAAATGGGAAGAGATTATCAGGAAAAGTGAGCAACTCCCAGATTTACCAGCAGTTTCTACCTTGTTTGATCAAAATTTCCATTTCTAAACACATAGTATAGAGGAAGGAAAGTTCATTCCCTGCAAAGTGAAATAAACTAGTATTTGAATCAGTGTAGCCTGATTTAGTCATCACATCAAATGTTTAAGGCTGAAAATAATGGTAGGGATAAATCCAGCCAGTGTCTTTTTTTTGTCCAGTAGTTCTTGGGAGTGCTGTTTGCAAGGCACAGATCTTACTTTGGCACTTGACCATCTGCAGCTGCTTCACTCTAGCCCCTAGTGAGTTAGTGTCCATGAAGTCCATCTTAATGAAGTGGAGGAAAGGGTCTTCAGGAATATAAAAGATTTACCCTGCTTAGCATGGAGCTGTGTGCAATGTGAAATAGAGAGCAAGTAGTGCATGTGCTGACACTTGAAAAGATCTGTGGTTTAAACAGCCCTGTCTCAGAGATCATGAACTGTGTTTGGAGCTGGCTTGGAGCACTGAGCGCTGCAGAGCACAGTCAGCTCGCCGTCGCTTGTTCCTAGAACAGAAATGCAAAGGCCTTACCTATTTATTTCTGCTTCCTTTGAGCTTTGGGTTTAGTGGTATGTGAAAGGAAAAAAAAAATCAAGCATATGTTCGGCTGCTCAATCAACCTTTTCTCAATCCACACTCGGTGATCTCAATGAGTCATTACGGCATAATTACAATTTGAATGTGATATGCTGTTTGTAGAAAAGTATCTATTTTTAGCTGAAGAAACACTACAGTCTCTGAAAGGAGGAGAAAGAAAGAAAAAAGAGAAGGAAGAAAATCTGTAACCAGCAAATCAGTGCTATTGTTAACTGATATTACGAGACACCCTGTAGATTTACAATGCTTGCATTCAACCACATAAAACTGTGCTGAAAAGAATGCTTGCCAGGGGTTAAATTCATATGCCTGCACTGCAGCCTATTTCTGTCAACACTCAGCTCAGGAAATAAACATTTATGCTTTCTGAAATGAAAGTGTAGTTTTGAAGACTAGCCGTCAGATATTTTTTGCCCTTCACACTTTCAAATGCTTAGCCTTTTTTGTAAGTTGACTGCAAAGTGCATCAGTTTGCTAGGCAAAAAGTAAAAGAAAAAATAAAGAAAAATCTTGACAAGTGCCCATGGCATCATTGTCAAGCACACAAGCATCTAGTAGAAGATGGCAGGAGGGTTGGCACAAAACATGCTTCCTTCAAGCTTCTTACCTCAGGGGTACCTGACTCTAGAGAAGCCTTTCAATCCTTCCAAATGACGTTATTGCAAACTGTCATCTGGTTTATTTGGAGTGTGCTGTATCGCAGATAAACATGCTATTTAACTGCAGGTCAAGGTACAGAGTCATTCTGCCAGCAAATGCTTTTGAGATACATTAAATGGCATTGTCTCAGGGAGGGCGATGGGGAGAGATCAAAGTTGTCACCAATATGTTACATGCTAAGGGGGGAAAAGGTACACGATGTTGTATTTTAAAAAGCCATTATGCAGTTCTACATTTGAAATGATGACCTGGAAGATGCTTAAGGAGCCACACAAAGCACAACAAAGTTCAAAACCACATCATCATGCAGCATCCCAGGCCGGTTTGGAAAGAGTTTACAGTTGTGACTGGGAAGGCTACCACCAGTCCAGAAAGCTGAAAGTGCATTTATGTCTAATTCAGAGACTTTTCTAAAGAACAAGTATATTTTCAAATAGAGTATGTCCACTTGTCACAGAATGTGATTGGTCCTGGTGGATTCATGTAACAAAAGCTCACAGAATTCAGAGCACAGGTCGGCATGAAATAAGTACAGTCCTCCAAACAATTTTAAATAAATGTCTGTATGGAAAAACATATGCCTGTGTAACGTACTCTTTTAACTGGGACTTGCTGAGTATCTATTGAAAGGGCATTGGTATGTTACAAGAGACTTGCTGGATGCTTTCACATTTTCTGAAAAATCAAAACGAAAACATATTAATTACAACTTGACACAGCTTAACATTCCCACGAGGGTTGCCTTTAAAAGTTAAAACATGCTTTCACTGAGCAGGCTTTCAAGGGGAAGTTATTTCAATCAGAAAGAAAATAATCATGTTTATTTGATTTATTATTGTAGAGCAGAACAGTGCGCATTTGCCAGTTTTTTTACAGTGTAAAAAATGTCTTTTGATTTTTCATGTGTCATATAAAAATAATTAGTATATTTACTGCACCAGAACGCAGATTTTTCAAGAGTGCAGTATAATAAATTATAGGCAACATCCCATTTTTTCCCCTCACTGGGCATATGTAACTGTGGCACACAATAAATGTTATTGAAACATAACACTGTTTGTTTAAAAAAAACCCAAACTACAAAAATAGAGAAGTAAATAAAAGAAAGAAATGGGAGTTTTCAGGAAAAAGAAAAGAGAAATTGCAAGTTAAACTTTTTATAAGCAAAACGGATTTTATTGCTTTTTTGCTTAATTAAACTCTTCAGAAGTGTGTGAAACATTGTTATACCTGAAAAATTGTTAATTTGTAAATCACAGGGACAAAAGGGCTCCACTGCAACTTTAAAGTTTCTATGCACGTAAATGTCAATAGAGTGCCTTCTCCATCATCAGCACTAAATTCACATTGATGCCTCTTTTCTTCTCTGTATTGATCCTTCCATGAGAACGTAGATTTGTATCTGTTAATTAATGCGTCCTGAAACAGCGTTTGTATTAATCAGGCAGATAAGAAAAATTGGATGCCTGCACCCTCATGACAACCGTAAAAGTGCTGGCCCTGATAAAATCGTGGATGGACCTCAATAAAAAATTTCCTCCTTCCACTCAATAAACTAATCATCCTGCTTTTAATTATTCGGCAGAAAGATGTGTGGAGATTGGAGAATGTGTAAATCTATTTACTAACAGCAGTGTCTGGGAGGGAGAATGGGGCTGTCACAGGACGGTGCTGCAGGCTACGTTCTCTGTCCATCTGCTACTGCAGAAAAACTGGTTCTTGAAAGACAGAAAGGAGCAGAAATGTTGAAGCTAATTGAAATCATGAATTCCTCCCTATAACCTTTCAAATTATTATTTCTTCTCCATTTCCCTCTTATTTATTTTAATTGCAGATGTGTTATTTTCCAATGTCGCCTCTTCAAGGGCTTCCTGTGGCTGTTGGCTCAGTTTTTGTTGGGGTTTTTTTGAAGACAGCTACAGTTCTATCACAAGACTCAAAAGACAGTAAGAGAAAAGGAAAACAAATAAGGAGGGGGAGAAAAATGAGAGAGAGGGAGAAAGAGAGCATGCAGCCAGTTTTATGTTTCATTTTTTTATGGATGCCTGGTGGTTTGGATGTGGGGTTTTCCTTTTTTATTGTATTAGTTTTGCTGCTTAGTGCTTACAGAGAAAATCTTGTTCGGAGACGATGCCTTGAAGATTTGCTAGTTTATGATATATTCCTGCTTGACTCTAACACTTGACGATGAAAACAGAAAAATGCATTTAAGTGTAATTGAATGCCAAAAAGAATGTTCTTACAGCGGGAACCCTGTCAAAGGACATGTAAGCAGCTCCATAAACAACTAAATGAAAGCCTCAGACATGTCTTAAGACCCTTTAAGAAAAGCTTGACTAATCCCCTTTGATGATTTTATTAAGTACTTGTGGTTGATGGTGCCAACTGGCAACTACTGCATTTAAGCAACAGGCCAGGAAAATCACTTCCTCTCCCATATTGTGTTGTAGTTCCTAATGCGATTCGGATATTAGCAGTTTGATATAATAAATTAACAGGTACTGTAAACAAGAGTCTGAAAAGGTAAGACAGCAAATATGTTTGCCCTTAGTGATCTTATTAGGAAAGACAGCAGGGGGGGAAAAAAAGGCAAAAGTTAAATTCATTAAGAAGCATTTATTAAATTCTTGGTTGCCCTCAGAGAAAGGATGGTGTGGCTGATATTCAGTTGGCACTTTAATATGCCACCCAGTTATTTCAACAAGTGGAGAGTGGAGGTGGGAGCCAATGCAGAAGTAGTTAGCACCTTTTCTGAGAAGAGTAGGTGTTACTTTCTTTCTTTCTGCTGAGGTTAAAGCTCAAAGAGTATTTTATTCTTTGTGATAATTATCTTAATTCTACTAAAACATCAAATCTTTGATTCTAAAAAAGTTTGTTGTTTGTTTGGGTTTTGGTTTTTTTCTCCCCTAAACTATCCTTCTTGGTTTATGGTACTGATGAACAGAGTCATCAGATCCCTATTTCATGACATCAGGATCAGAATTTAGAACTAAGCATGAGTATTTCAGACAAAGAAAACATCACACAGATCACAGGCTGTGACTGCAATACTCCCCAAATTAATAGCAGTCTTACAGAAAGAGTCTTCAAATTCCAACTTGTTTTTAACTTTGTGTGCTGATTAGGAGACATTTGATTTTCTATTAATTTACTTTCCTATATTAGAATGGGGAGGAGAGGCACAAAAGCAGAAGGGGAAATAAAACTAGTAGGTACATGTTTTATCACAATGAATACAAAATTAAATCATAAACAGGAGCAGATTTCTGATAAATCCGAACATACTTAATATTTTTCCTGTATTTTATTTTTCTATTCAGGATTCTCCACTTTGTCTCTAGCTGACCAGATGAGCCTTCTGCAGAGTGCTTGGATGGAGATCTTGATTCTTGGTGTTGTATACCGGTCACTTTCTTTTGAGGATGAGCTCGTATATGCCGAAGATTATATTATGGATGAAGACCAGTCCAAATTGGCAGGGCTTCTTGACCTTAACAATGCCATACTGCAGCTGGTAAAGAAATACAAGAGCATGAAGCTGGAGAAGGAAGAGTTTGTCACCCTCAAAGCTATAGCACTCGCTAATTCAGGTTGGCAGAGTGGCGTCACGGTTGCTACATTTTTAATATGTCACTTTATATTTTTCTCCACAATACTTTCTGCATGCTTGTTTTAAACACAGTTTTGGAGTAAGAAATTGCAAATCACACCTTAATTTCCAGGGCAGCAAACAAAACAGATCATACTAAGAGCAATGTTTGGGTTCTAAGTAATTGTGGAATGTGTTCCTAAGGGAGTGGAGAATACTACCTCACTGAATGATTTGGAGAGTATTTTACAGACAAAAATCCATTCAATGAATGTAGATGTTGTTCTCCTAAATAAATTCCATCATCCAGACAAGTCTAATCTTTGCAGTTAAAACAAACTGAAAGGATGCATGAGAATGTGCTATATACATTCTCTTTAAAGGCAACTATTGCTTTATTTGATGGGGTAAATTCAGGATATGGGAGGAGAGAAGATATTTAATCTCACAAGGACCGCAGCTTACCTTACGGATCCTCTGCATTTATGAGACTACTTCTGCAAATAATTACCTGTGAGGCAAGGGTTAAACATCTCAGAATTTTATTTATTTTTTTTTGTATTTGAATTTAAAAGTGCTGAAGCAGTGAATACTGCCAGATAAGTAAAAATCGTTTGTGCTTTGTTGTTTTTCCTTTTGTGTCTCCTTAGTGCTTTATTGTAGTCTTAAGTCCCTTTTAGCATTTGCATAAAGTTCACGATAGATCCCTCTTTAATGACGTGCCGATCATTAGATACCTGTGTGTCAATAACATGCTCTGATGCTATGTTCCATTGACAGTCACACCGTGCCCCTCCATCTGCTTTTGTTTTGACCCTATCTTTGAACTTTATCTTGGTTGCTGGCCAGTAGTTTTCCCTTTAATTACAAGAAGGAAACTGTCAATAAAATCTGTTAAATGGGATGCAATGAGTGGCTTGAATGGGCGGACGGCTATTTGTTCAAATTCTGCAGCATTCAAGGTATTGACAGTTTGTTTTCTGGGGCCATATGTGACGATCAATCTCAGGCTGGGCTCAGCCGCGCTGAAAAATGAAAAACCAGATTGCTTTTGCTTACTTGTGGATGACGACTTGTGATTTGGCGCGGTCCTAGTGAGATGAGACCTTCTGCCCAAATTGCCCCCCTGAGAGCCAGGACGCGTGACTGTTTTTAGAAATAATTTTTTAATTGATTTTGTAATTAACAGTTCATCTACAATATTGATGCATGAATCCTCAGATTGATAGGAGGGAAATTGTTTTCAACAATGAAGTTGTACTTTCCTATTTGTCTTTGTAATGTGATTTAGCACTCTGCATTTTTAATTGGAAATGTAATTCAAAAACATGCAAAGCCAAGAGGCTTAGTAGTTTCTTTGAAAAAATATTCTCCACCCCACTAACTCAGCCCTTACTTTTAGAATATTATCTTATTTTCAGAATAAACAAAGTGCTGAAATGCCTCTCAAAGATTAAAAAAAAAAAATATTCAGATTTATTTATAATTTTTGACCACTTGAGGATGCTTTGCAGCTGCAAGAAGGATTTTTCTCAAAATTGGTCATGCTTAATGAGCAGAGCAATGAAGTTATCTAGAATTAGGAGTCTAAATTGTGAAGTGTTTTTCTGTTTGTTTTGATTTTGTAATTCTAAGACTGAATTAGAAGTATTTCTACAGTTCACTTGATAAGAAGGATAAGAGGTTAGAATATACAGATATGGTGTTAAATACCACTCAGGTGTTTTTTTTTCTCCCCCAAAAAGGCATGCATGTTTAAGTGATTATAAAAGATACTACTGCCAAAAAAGTTCAGTCATATGTTGTCCATAGAGTGTATCAAAATCATCTGTAGCTTCATTAACTTCAATGGGAATTACGGCCAGGATAATGTCAGAGAAAAACACAAGTCAGCATACTGAAATTCAGGGCACATTTAAGTGAAAACGTTTCCTTCCCTCATCTTAAAAGAAATAAAATTGCTGTTTTAAAATGAAACTTCTGCAAGGAGGAGTTAGAAAAAAGCCCAACCTTTTGACCTGCCTTTCAACAAAGGTATGACTTCTGACATTCAACATTTCAGCTTCAGTTTGTACACGCATCAGATACCAAACTTCTATCAGCTGAATCTGTACTAACCTGTAGGTGCAAAATAGCACTTGCAGAATTACAGTCCATCAAAGCATGTCAGACCCCTAGTATTTTAATTTGCAAATGCTGCTAAAATTAAAGTAAAATTAAATTTAAAGTCAATTAATTAAAGTAAAAATATGATTTTGTCTTTTTTACAGACAAAACCGGAAATAGCTTATTTTCCCATAACTATGAACTCAATTAATGTAAATGCAACTATATCTGAAAAGAAAAAAAAGTGCAATTATAAAACCAATCACTTAGTAGTTCATATTTTAATATATTTTGTTGCTACCTTTGCTTTCATCCAAAACTTCCACAACTTATTTTTCTGGTTTAAAATATATTAGGCTTTTTATAGCTGTAGAGAGAATGAATCTTAGGCATTTCAGACATTCTTGCCATATCCACTGTCTAGGAATATTCCCAGGTTGACTCTATTGTAAACACTAGGCAAAGATGGGTTAGTGATTTGTGATACAGTGTCAGAGTACTTTCCCTGCTGGTGTATAGAAGCAGGAAAAAGAAATTGTAGGTTGTCTTCATATTGATTGTATTTTGTTTGTATAAATACCATGAGCTTTATTTTGGCCAACAAATCTCAGTATTGTAAACATTAAAACTCTCAACTGCTAACTTTTCTTTAGGCCTACAGAGTCTACTTGTGCAGTACTTGAACTGAGATTATCCTGCCATTTGATATGTGAAAGGTGGAGAGGAGGAGCCGTTATTCAGGGAGATTCTCTGACAGCTGTTATCAAGTGTTCCCTTCACAGGGTTGGACAATGCCACATGTGGCATATGTACATTTCCAGAAATGCAAGGTGTAGCAACCAAGTGGGTTGCGTCACTCATTTCAAATGGAGTGCACAATAGCACCTGAAAAGTTCAAATACGTTAGAACACAGTACTGAAATGTATAGAGATTTCAGTCCTGTGTACTTTACAGGCATGATTTGAACAGTTACATTTAATACATGGTGGTTATATGGAATTTATTAGGTTACTTTTAAACATCAGCATTGAGTTCATAGTAATTATGACAGCCTTTATGCTTGAACTCTGAAGTCTCTCGCACCACAGGGTTGCCCCTGTTCTGTCACAAGTTCATAGTTCCTTCCTTTCTTTTCCTTCCTTCTCAAGTTCCTTCCTTCTTTCTCTGCCATCCCTACACAAAAGCAAGTAGTTACCTTGAAGCTGCAGGATTAAACTGCCCAGCGTTCCACCTTGCACTGCCCAAATGAAGCAAGCTGGCACCAGTGAGCACTTTGTTTACCCACGCAGAAAATCAACTCTGAATGGTTTCCAAAACATGCATGTACCAATTATTCCTTGTGTGCAAGGGAAGGTGAAATGTTTACAAAACATGTTTGAAGTGTACACAGGTGCATGCATGCCCACGTGAACACTGACACAGAAAAGATGATCTGCTCATCTCTTGTATTAGAAAATACTTTCATGTATAAATTCAGTAATACTAAACAGGGAGTTGCAGGTGAGGAGTTTTTTGACATTACCTAATCAGTAAGGACTAAATTGCGCCTTCAGGCCAACTGTTGCAGAAGAGCTTAGGAATCACAATTGAGACCTGATTTTTAAGAGAGGTTCAGTTCCCATCTAAGACCTAATGTAAGGAACTAGAGTGTCAAAGTACATAAGCACATTTGAAAATCTGATCCAAGTGTATTTGCCTAATAGGCTGCTGGCATCTTGAAAAACCTGACCCAGATGTGGGTGCTAGGCACTTAAACTTGTAACCCTGTGCACTGTTGAAAATTTAATCTTGAATGCTAATAGAAGCTGTCTAGCCGATACCACCAGAAAGAGAAAAGAATCTGTACTCACCATCACAATTTCTGCTCTCTCTTATTAACTTTACTAAAAAAACTCAGCACCCTTTCAGTACTGAAGGAGTAAGAGCTAAGAAGTATCTTGTGTGTTTTAGCCTAATGAAGCACAGATCAGCATTGATGCCAGTAGTTACATGATCGTCTGTCCTGGTAGGAAAATTAATTTGTTCTTCCTTAGTTTTCCAGCCACCAAAACAATGTATTCAGAGCACTAGGCTGTCATCATTAAATAATATTATCATCATAAATATTAATTGGTAGAACCCTATAAATTGCTTATTCCACAGAACATCATATCTATTCCCAGTATAGGCTGTAGTTTATCTTAATGTCACAACATACTATGTTTAGTTTCCAATAATGCCAATTTTTAATTTTATTTAGTCATCTTGCTAATGTTAGAATTCATTATGAAAATATTCTGTATTGTAAATAGGCATATATATATTATACACACACATGTGCATACCTGAGCATTATTAGGGTGTTATGTGTTTATATTGCTAAACATCAATGGCAAGGTCTGTTAACTCTTTAATGCAATTCTGTATAGAGTGTGATGTAGCATTGAAACAAATTTTTAGAAAAGTAGTCATTTTCATGTTGCTTGAACACAATTTATCCCTCATATTGCTTTTTCATGTAATCAAATAGATGGGACCCACAATTCTTAGAGAAAACAAATAACTACTACCGTTTGCTTAGTGATAGCATTAAGAACGTGTTGGCAGAGTTAATTGGTGTTTTATTTTATGTTCAATGTCTGTTTTTCTGGTTCCTGTTTTTCTTGTTAACTAAATAACTTTCAGACATTCCTCAGTTATGAAGTAGGTGGTTACTATTTACACGTTAGCAGCCTGAGCCTCAGGAAGGGCAGGAAGTGAGGCCAGCCCAGTGAGTGGTGGGAAGATGGAGCCCCGAGTCTCCTGCTGCTGGCGCAGCCTATGAGGGGCAGAGCTGGGCTGTGTCTGCCCAGGGCCAGCTCTGTGCTGGCCAGTGGGTTTTCTGGGTAGGAGAGCAATGGTCTGAACCTCTGTGT